GCTTTCAATCACCCCGCCCATTCTCCCGCTTTCCATCACCCCGCCCCATTCTCCATCCTTCCATCACCCGCCCCATTCTCCCTCTTTCCATCACCCCGCCCCATTCTCCCCGCCTTCGCTCACCCAGCCTCAACTCGCTCCCTCTTTCATCACCCCGCCCCATTCTCCCGCTTTCAACCCGCCTCATTCTCCCCTCTTTCCATCAACCCTCCCCATTCTCCTCTTTCCATCACCCCGCCCCTTCTCCCGCTTTCCATCACCCCGCCCCATTTTCCCTCTTTCCATCACCCCGCCCCATTCTCCCGCCTCCATCACCCCGCCCCATTCTCCCGCTTTCCATCACCCCGCCCATATCTTCTCCGCTTTCCATCACCCTCAACATTCTCCCGCTTTCATCACCCCGCCCAATTTCCCTCTTTCATCACCCCGCCCATTCTCCCTCTTTCCATCACCCCGCCCCATTCTCCCCTTCCCTCACCCGCCCCATTTTCACTCTTTCCATCACCCCTTCCATTCTCCCGCTTTCATCACCCCGCCCCATTCTCCCCCGCTTTCCATCACCCCGCTCCCTTCTCTCCCGCTTTCCATCACCCGCCCCATTCTCCCGCTTTCCATCACCCCGCCCCATTCTCCTCCTTCCATCACCCCGCCCCTGTTATAGTCACAGTAGGCTCCAATGTGCCTAAAACGAAAGATAGAGTGCACATTCGGATTTCTGCACAGCGGCTTCAAACGTTCATAGCGTTTGGTCACAGCTTCAAATGACTTGATTCAACTTGGATCTGGAGCGTTATTGTCGCCTACAATAGGCAATTTAGATCGCACGATTTGACCAAGTATTGACGACACAGGGTTGGTTTGAACGAACGGCACTATGGCAGCCACTATGTCTTAGAACACAAGATAGGAAGAGTTAGGAAGAGTTACGAGTTGGGAATGACTCCCAGCTCCTACAAACCCCAAGAGCCGAGGTACAGTGATGTGGAACAGTGCCACACTGTCCCCAACCACGAAGGGTCTCGAAACTACCCTTCACTAGGGCCTACACCAAGTGAAATGTTACACTACACAAAGTAATGTAACTATCTTCAATATCTTGAGGTGTACCCTTTTGGCGAGCTTTGAAATCACTTGTGGATTGACACCAAGGCTCGGCTCTTCATCACAAACTCATCCTTGAGTTCTTGATGGGTCTGCTGCACACACCTGCGACACACCGAACGTTCGACACAGGACAAAAGAAAACGCGCACGACAAAATAGAAACCGCGCGCGAGACACAAACGACCGCGTAACACGCGTCTAGCGATAACTCGCTATTGACTCGACACATACACTCGACATCATGACTCAACATTCACACACAATTATAAGCATTAAATATATATTATCCCATGCCCTCATACCATTCCATAGACACACACATGCACGCACACGGACAACAAGCCGAGTGCAAACCATAGGGTTGCACCAACAAACTCCCCCTCGGATTGTTGGCCTTAGGGTGTGTTGCTCTGTCAGTTCAGAGCCATCCCAGCCAGCTTGCAACACTTCCAATGCTGCTGCTCCACCAGCCTCTTGGTCATCATGTCAGCCGGCTGCCCCGTGGTCTTCACGTAGCGCAACTCAACTTCACCCGCGGTTACCATGCTCCTCGTCCAATGCCACTTCACCCTCATGTGCTTCGTGAGTCCATGCAACACAGGGTTCTTAGCAAGAGCAATGGCACCCTGGCTGTCACAATACAGTGGGGTAGGTCCTTGCTGCTCCTCCCCCAATTCAGCCAACAAACGCCGCTGCCACACAATCTCCCGTACGGCACGGAAGAGTGCCATGTATTCGGACTCCACCGAGCTCAAAGCTTGGTCAACCTGCTTCTTGCTCTCCCAAGCAGTTGGGCCTCCACCAACACAGCATATGAAGCCTCCCACACTTGTCATGTCCTCTGGTTCTGATGCATATGAAGCATCCGAGTAGGCGGTGAGGAACAAATGCCCGGGTTCAACACCATCCGCGCCCTTTTGGCGCCTTTGTGCCGCCGCCGAGTATTGCAGCCCAACGGTCGCTGTTTGGCCAAGATACTTGGACACCCTCATTCCAGCTGCTACCTGCTCCTCATTAGGGCATTGCACAGAACCCTAGCCAGCTGCCCGGTAGCAAACGCGACGTCCGGTCGGGTGTTTACCGCCGCATACATGAGGCTGCCCACCAACGAGTGAAATCGGCGCCTCTCCTCTTCTCCAACGCTCTCCTCCTCTGGCCCCTTCACACACTTGAACCCAGAGGGAAAGGGAGTAGCCACATGACCTTCACTCTGGCCGAAGTTGGCAGCCAACGCCTCCAGGTACTTCCGTTGGTGCACTCGCATGCTCCGCTTCTCCACGTCTCGTTCGATGTGGAGCCCAAGGTAGGTAGAAGTTCACGTCACCAAGGGACTTGCACTTGAACTTGTCATGCAGCTTCAGCATCACCTCCTTCACAAGGTCAGAGGAGGGTGAGAATATGAGAATGTCATCCACATAAACCACCATGAAGCTCCTCTGCTCCCCCTCGCCAAGCATGAACAAGGAGTGATCGGCCGTTGAGGGAGTGAAGCCGATCTCCTCCAACACTTCGCGCAGCTTCATGTACCATTGCCTAGGGGCCTGCTTCAGCCCATAGAGGGCCTTCTTCAGCTTCCACACTCTGCCACTACCATCATCAAACCCCTCTGGCTGCGCCATAAAAATCTCCTCCTCAAGGATGCCGCCGTTAAGGAATGCCGTCACAATGTCCATTTGCTTCACCACCCATCCTTTGATGGCGGCTCCCGCGAATAGGGTTCGCAGCGTCGTCGGCTTCACCACAGGGGCAAACAGCTCCTTGAAGTCCACCTTCTCCTTCTGCTGGTACCCCTTGGCTACAAGCCTAGACTTGTAACGCTCGATCTTGCCGTCGGCATCCGACTTGATTTTGAAGAGCCACTTGGACGTTATCGCCGTACGCCCCTCCGGTAGCTCCACCAATTCAAACGTGTCATTCTCCTCGATGCTCTTCAGCTCACTCTCCATGGCCTTCTTCCACTCCTCAGCATCACTACTCTCCAAAGCCTCCTTGAGAGTTGCTGGTCTCCCCGGCATCTCCACCGGAGAGAAGAACGCGAAGGCACACTCCTCGTAGTCACTCTCCTCGTCGTCTCCGACCATCATTGCCGCTCCGGCCAGGGCTGTCTTGCCTTGCTTTCCAAGTGCATCATAGGTCAGCCTATTAGGGGGTTGAACTCTCCTCTTCCCCCTTCCTTCCTCCTCAGCTGCAGGGACTTGAAGGCCTTGGCGTTGCTGCGGTGTGGCTCGAATCCGTGGAGCACTCGTGGTACGGGAAGGGAGTGACGGTGCACGCTCGCTCACTTGCTGCACCTCCTCCTCTTCTTCCTCTGCATCATGGCCTCCTCTCCCCCATTCACAAGGGAGGATTGCCTCGTGGTTGTGCTGCCGCTGCTCAGCTCCAAAGGCAGCTCCACATGCTCCAAACCGGAACTCTTCACCTCCCCAAACCGCACGCCTATCTTCGCCTCATTCTCCGCCTTCCAATCCTTGTACATGAAGTTCTCCATGAACTTGCAGTCCCTGCTCACCAAGAACTTCTTGGTGAATGGGTCCCAAAGAAGCCATCCTTGCTGTTTTGAGCCATGCCCAAGTGCACGGCCCACACCGCCTTGGCACCAAGCTTGTTGTGCCGAAGATGCTTAGGCACAAGCGCCATGCACATGCACCCGAAAACCGAAGCATATCCACTTTGGCTTCCTTCCTAGCCACTCCACATAGGGCACCCATTTGTCTGCTCCCACATGAGTCAAGGCTCTGTTCTTGGCCACACACGCGCTCCGCACCGCATCAGGCCAGAAATAGTCGGTTAGCCCGGCTTCAATGAGCAACCCGCGTGCCGCCTCCGTGATTGTGCGGTTCGCTCGCTCGGCGATGCCTTCATTGCAGGGGAGTATGGCATGGTGAGGGAGTGCCGAATACCATTCTTCTTCAGCCACAACCCAAACTCCTTGCTCAGGAACTCTCCCCCTCGATCGGTGCGGATTGACTTGACTAGACGGTCTTGTTGCCGCTCCACCATCGGGAACCAATCCGCCTTCAACGTTTCAGCCACGTCGCTCTTCTTGGCCAGCACGTACACCCAAGTCATACGGGTGTAGACGTCCACAATAGTGAGGAAGTACTCAGCTCCAGCAGCTCCAAGCTTCAGGGGCCCACCACGTCCATCACCACCTCAAGTGGTGCCTTTGCCGTTGCCTCCGAACTAGAGAATGGGAAACGGGTGAACTTGGCTTGCATGCACGTCGGGCAGCCAAGTACCTCATCGGGCTCCCCCTTCACACGTATGCCAGCAACCATCTCATTCTTCACTAGCTGCTGCAAGATAGGCAGGGCACATGCCCCATGCGCCGATGCAAGGTGAGCCAATCACACTCCCCCGTAGCCGAAGTTGGATTGGAGAATGCCGCGCTCGCAATAGCGCCCCACATACTCTCTCCGTAGTCCTCCTCCGCTGCTGCCTCGGGTTCTCCTCACCCTTTTGCTGCTCCTTGGTTGCTGCACCACTCTCCTTAGGTTCACTGAACTTGCTGGTCCCTCCAAGATTGCACTTCTTGACTCCTTCTCCTTAGCGCGACCGTCCGCGCCATCGTCGCTACCACCCGCTCCACCTTGGTGCTGACGCTTGCTGCCACTTGCCTCTCCTTAGGCATGGGACCACTGGGATCTGCCACATCTCGTTGTAGACATCCCTGTCCTCATGAAGGTCCCAAAGAATTCGATCGCCAAGCCTTGCGGTGTAGGTCTTGGCTCCCTTCGAGTTAGTGTCCATGCCGGCCTTTGCCAACCGCCGCACGGAAATCAGGTTTGCAGCAAGGCTGGGCACCCAAAGCACGTTCTTGAGGCCCACCATCTTCCCATCAGCACCTTGAACATGGCCTTCCCATGCCTTTCACCTCTGCTCGCTGCCCAAAGCCGATGTGACATGCTTCACCGGTGACGGCTCGAGTTCGGTGAGCAAGTCCGGGCGAGGTGTCATGCTATAGGTAGCGCCACTATCAATCACCCAATAGTCCAGGGGTGTAGGGTCACCTTCCCCACAGCTGCTGGCTCCTCAAAGCCTTCATCCTTCTCTGGACCAGCCGGTACTTGCGTCGACACGAAGTAGAATAGACCCGGGTATCGATCGTCGCTCGGGTCCTTGTCGTTTGTCTCCGCTCTTCATGTTTGCAGCTCCGCCACCGCGACCGCCACGGCCTCCACGGCCTCGTCCTCTCCTATCCTCCTCCTCCTACCCTCTTGGCCTTGAGCAGGGGTCCAACCATCAGGGAGTTTGTAGCAGTCGCGCCACATGTGTCCGCTCTTGTGGCAATAGTGACACTCGCCGTCGAATCGGCCGCGACCGCGTCCGTAGCTCTTGTCGTCGCTGCCGTAACCGCCACTCCCGCGGCCTCCGCCGAAGTTGCTGCCACCAAACCTTCCCCCCCTCGTCCTCTGCCTCTTCTCGACCATATCCACGGCCGATGCTCGCTGCCCCAGCGCCATCCGCACTCGCCAACTCACGGCGGCGGAAATCCTCTTGAAGGATAGCCCGCTTCACGTCTTCAAGCGAGAGGCGGGGCAAGTCGCGATTAAGGTTG